AGAGAGAGAGAGAGAGAGAGAGAGAGAGAGAGAGAGAGAGAGAGAGAGAGAGAGAGAGAGAGAGAGAGAGAGCGCACTATGTTCGGGGGAACCGAACATAAAGATGGTAGACAATCCAGATGGTAGCCGGATTGTCGTGTCAGTAGTGTTTATTCAATGCAGTCTTCCCCTAATAGAGTGCGTGTGTGCATGAACGTTTCCTTTTTTCTTTTTTTTTTTGTGTGTGTGTGTGAGTGAGTGAGAGAGAGAGAGAGAGAGAGAGAGAGAGAGAGAGAGAGAGAGAGAGCTGCAGCATACAGCATGTCAGTGTCAGGGAGCACAAGGGCAGGCACTGGCCTCGAATACAAAGGGTATGCGTTCAATTTCCGAATACAACGTGGCCGTTTTCTATTCGAGGTGCTCTGCTATTCGAGATTAGTGGACCAAGGCCTTCTCGGCCTCCTTGGCCTCCTACGGGCAGCTACCCGTCGTACGCAGTCCAAGCCCTTGAGCACCTCCTTGGCCTCCTACGGGCAGATACCCACCGTACGCAGTCCCAGCCCTTGCAAGGCCCCCAACCGATCGTCCGCAGTCCAAGCCCTTGCAAGGCCCCCAAACCTCAAAATGCATACCCTCCCGGACGTTAAACCACCAGTACTTGGGCACTGCGCACCGCGCCGGCCGCCCAAATCTCGAAGCAGCGCGGGCTGTCGATTCTATTCGATTTTTCGACGGCCCGCCAGCCACAGGATTCGATTTATCGACGGCCCGCCAGCCACAGGATTCGATTTATCGACGGCCCGCCAGCCACAGGATTCGATTTCTCGACGGCCCGCCACGTTAAGAAACGCAGAGACGCAGACAAGTCATCTTTCAATACACTTCCGCGGTTCACGGCTCTCAAACGCCAACAGGAGTAGGGGCCTGTCTGTCAGACTTCCCTTTCGTCCCACCTTTCGGAGTGCCGCACCGCAGCCACCCATTGTCGCACCGTAGTAGCAGGCTACAACGAAAGGCGCAGGTGGGACCGAGCACCGACGGGATGCCGGGGAAACCCAAAGCGAAATACTTGCGGCAGTTCTGGGGAGTCGTTAGCCTGTTCCAATCTCAAGGGGGGCAAGGTCCCACTTGCGCAAATTAGGAGATCTCGGCCGTTGATTTTCCCTATCTAAGGTCAGTATCTCTTAATTCGTGCCAGTGGGACCTAGCCCCGGATGTCTGGAAGAACAACTCGGCTAGGTCCTGCGCAAGAATGACACGCAAAATCGAGAACCAGTAAGAAAAGAGAAAAAAAGACGCGGAAAACTCACAAAACCTCCCGGAGACGAACCCTTCGTATCCGTTTCACCCCAAACAGGGAAAAAGTGCCGCAGGTCCCAAAATCACATTTGATGTGGTGTCATTTGGCACACTGGCTGGGCCGGTAACGGCCGCTGTGTAAAAATGGCGGGAAAGTGTTATGCTCGGTATAAAAATGGTGCCAAAAGTGATTTCGGGGCCAGCGGCACGCATTTTTACACACCGGCCACGCCATTTTCACACAGTGGCCGTTACCGGCCAAAGCCAGGGTGGAAAATATGACACCAAAAGTGATTTTTGGGCCTGCGACACCTTTTTCCCCGTTTGGGGGGAAATGGATACAAAGGTTTCGTCGCGGGGAGGTTTGATGACTTCTCCCAAGTAGACAACTCCGTTAGCTCTCTGCCGGGGGTTCGGGGAAGCTACTCGGAGAGTGGAAGCCCACCTCCGCCCATCGGGAAACCCGCCGTTCCGTCAGCTCTCTGCCGGGGGTTCGGGGCCTTGTGAGAGGAAGCTACTCGGAGAGTGGAAGCCCACCTCCGCCGATCGGGACACCCTCCGTTCCGTTGGTCACCGCGCGATGAGAATCGAATCTATATAGGGAAAATAATAGCTCCAAGAATAAGCACAAGGCGGGTGGGGACAGGATGACAGGACAAGGCATCGTTGGGTATAGGGGAATCGTACCCCGTGAGGATTGCAAGCGGGGGGCGGGAGGGGGAGGGGAATGACAGGGTACAGATGAGAGTCTAACGGGTGCCCATACCTGCTCGCCAAAACCCCAATGCTGATGGTACTGTTACTAATTGTGTACATCAAATGTACATCAAATGCTTGCCGGTGATAAGTGAACAGCCGGACTGAAGCCCCCCAGAATAGGAGGGGGCAGTGTCACAGTGTGTGAATCGTCATCTGCGAATCATTTTGTCTTTGCCCACCAGTTGTAGAGGTGCATAGCTGACAGTGGGTAGAGCACATTCTTTTGGACAATTATAAACATGAATTGCAGTTTTCTCGATTAATGCATGACATTGTCATACTCGGATAGGCGCATACCAATCTTCTCTCACTGTATCGTTTAGGAAACCGAAAAAGGTGTAGAGCACAAATTGGGCCTTACCTTCTTCCCCCGAATACAACATTCGGTCATTATAGCTGTATTTGGACTGAAAGATACCCCGAATTCAGCTATAATGACCGTATGTTGTATTCGCGGAAAGACGTATGGTCACATTCAACAGTTTCACGCGTGTACTCATCACCCACGCAGCGGGACTTCCACGGATTACGCTGGCCTCCGCTTTTCCGACTGTAGCCAGCCGCAGCTATGATCAGATTCACTCTTTCTTGAGCTAGAACGTTCGAGGGCGTATGTGGCTCTTTTCTGGCCAGGTTCAGACGAGAGAGCAGAATATTTGCATCCGCCCCGTTCTCTTTTTTCCTTCTCTCTACGTTTTTCCTCTTTTTTTCCCACAACAAAAGCAACTTACGCGGAGTCACCCGGTTCTCAAATATTAACGAACCAAGACGAGCATCACTGTTTGCATCTCTCTCTCTCTCCCTCTCTCTTTCTCTCTCTCTCTCTCACACACACACACACACACACACACACACACACACACACACGCACACACACATGTCATACAAACGATTAAGCGTGACGCACTTCTCAGTATCTTGCAGGAGTCTTCATCACAAGTTATTTTCCATTAATATCATATATACTAGCACCGCGCGTGCACCGCACCTAGATCTCTCAAGCGGATTTGCATTTCTCCCGGTCGCTAGTACCTAGCGACTTCCCTAAGTCCTACTTTAAAAAAAAAACACCCATTCGCCTTCTAACTAGACCAAGTCTCTCATTGCCCTCAATCCGAAAAACCATCATGAGAGACTCAATAATCATGAAGCACTCCTGTTGATATCCCTATCGATCCCTATAACCTAATCTCTCTCTCTCTCTCTCTCTCTCTCTCTCTCTCTCTCTCTCTCTCTCTCTCTCTCTCTCTCTCTCTCTCTCTCTCTCTCTCTGCGCCTCTAATACTTATAATCCTTCACGTGCAAGCTCTCAGAGGCTCCGTCAGCAACTGCGGCACCGGTGTACTTGCCAAGAGTAGCCTCTCCGTTGGCCTTGGCACGGGTGAAGAAGGCCTTCTGAGCCGCCTCCAAGTTTTCGACCTTGCCTCCCCACGCCTTGAGCGTGCTGGCTTGAAGAGCCCTACCGTACGAGAAGGACAGCGTCCACGGCTTCGTTGCCTCCAACGCATTCATGGCGTTCAGGTTCAGCGTCGCCTCCTCCTCGCTCTGTCCACCCGAAAGGAACATGATCCCTGGCACAGCGGCGGGAACGGTCCTCTGCAGGGTTCGTACCGTGTACTTGCCAACAACCTCCGGTGCGACCTTGGCAGCATCCGATCCCGGCGTCACCATATTGGGCTTCAGCAGCGTTCCCTCCAGCAACACGTGGTGATCGCTCAGAGACTTGTACACGGCAGCCAGTACCTTCTCCGTCACAGCGGCGCTCTTCTCGATGTCGTGCGAGCCATCGATCAAGATCTCCGGCTCAACGATTGGCACCAGACCGTTCTCCTGGCAGATAGACGCATAACGGGCCAGCCCATCGGCGTTGGACTGGACGGCCAGAGGAGAAGGACATCCGTCAGCGATCTTCAGCACGGCACGCCACTTCGCGAAGCGAGCGCCCTGCTGGTAGTACTTAGCACACCTGGCACCCAGTCCATCGTGGCCTTGCGTTGTCGTCTCGCCGTTGGTGCCTGCAAGGGCAGCAACACCGGTGTCCACCTTGATGCCGGGCACCACGTCCGCTTCCTTCAACATATCAACGAAGGGCTTGCCGGCGGCGGATTTCTGGAAGAGCGTCTCCTCAAACAAAATTACACCGCTGATATATTCCAAAGCACCGGGAGCGGTGAACAGCAACTCCCTCAGTGCCCTCCTGTTCGACTCCACGTTCTCCACATTGATGCTAGCCAACCTCTTGCCAATAGTGCCCGTGCTCTCATCGGCTGCCAAGATACCCTTACCGGGAGTGGCAATCTTCTTCGCCGTAGCGATCAGCTCATCAGCGTACTTTCCTGCGTAAGCCATCTTCTCCTTCCCTAGCAGGAACAAGAACGAGCAGAAAGAGAGAAAAAGGAGGCGAGAAGGCTCGTGTTCGCACACCAGACAGAGGACGAGCTTCCTCCTTCAACGCCCCCTCAGAGTCTTGGTTGCCAATCACACCGCGCCGCCAATTACAGAAATCACTTCCCCTGCAGAGGGAAGAAAGCAAGACGTCTATTTATGTTATGAACCCATGCCAGTCGGAACAATAGATCTTGGCAGCCGAGCGCAACCTCCCCGAACGCGCGCTACCGGTGCTAACGTAGGGCTGCTGCAGGCCTGAAGGCCCTGAATACGAGGTTTACGTTTGGGCGCGCTACCGGCGCTAACGTAGGGCTGCTGCAGGCCTGAATACGTACGAGGTTTAGGTTTGGGCGCGTCGCGGGGCCTCGCCGCGCTGCTCACGAAATGAGTGAGGAAAATGGAGCACGTATCTTCCGCCTGAATGTGGAAAGATGCATAGGACACACCAGCCATATCTTTTGTCTTTTTCACATTGGTCACTGGTGCGGCGATGCCCACAGACTCTAGAAGAATCTTCCAATACCTCAAGGCGAACCCCTGTTGCTGCAGAAAGGGCGAAAAACGTAGGGGCGACTTTCCGGACTCAGCAAGGCCAGCTGACCTGTGCACGCTTTCCATATGTCCAGCTGGATGATCGTGCTCCCTCGAATTGAAGACATAGGCATAGTGGCGCGGTACTCTGCGGGGGTTGTCGTTGGGCCTCGCTCCACTGCACAACATCGTAAATGCATCTGCAACTACAAAATAGTCCTGATGCGTTCGAACCGTTCGATCACTTGGAATGTATCTGGTCCATCTCGTATTCCCGATACGTGTCAAATGTCAAGTAGTGGAGCCAGACGCTTCCAGCACTTGGAATGTTCAGATACGTGTCAAATGTCAAGCAGTGGAGCGGGGCCGTTGTTCTTTCTTTTTTTTTTTTTTTAATGCAAGTCGCAGCTTATATTATAGAAGTAATTGAATGTCTGTCCAGGGTAACAATTATGCTTGCTTCCCAAGCCCAATCTGGGTTGGGCTACGTGGCCCGTCTGCTGGAAAAAAATAATGCACATAATCTGGCAGGCCAGGAATACCACAGTCTTCCATGATGAAGCATCTACGTTGCATAGGGCCTCGCTGCACTACGCTCCTCCCCCGAATACAACGTACGATTATTATAGCCGAATTTAGACTGACAGGTACACCGAATTCAGCTATAATATAATAATCGCACGTTGGATTCCGGGGAAGACTGTAGGGCCTCGCTACACTACTCTCGAAATGTGCAAAAAGAGAGTGAATGTTCCGCAAGAACATGGAAAGATGCACCGCCATGATTTTTGTCTTTTGTGCTTGTCGAAAGTAGTGGAGAGAGGCCCCTACACTGAAGTTTCAAGTGTGCGTCACCTCTGCATAAACTCTTGACTTGACGACGCTTGAAACTTTTCTTCTTTTTTTTTTTCTTTTTTTTTCTTTTTTTCTTTTTTATAGAGAAATCCGGTATCTGTATTGAATAATAAGTCACGAGGCCGGGGACCAAGTCCCACTTGCAGCGGCAAACGACGGGTTAAATCGCGAAAAATAACAGGATTTGAACGTGCTGAATGACAGTACTGATGAAAGGCCGGTCAGTCTGGTAACCAAGGGTATGGCAGCGGCATTGTCGGGAAAAACTTTTAGTTTCTGTGGAAATACAAGACGATGGACGGTCCCCACGTCTAGCCCGACTGGGGTCAGGCTACGGACGAGGACCGTTCCCTGCGAGTGAAAGAGCTCATTCCGACTATAACAGCCAATGGGAAACCGCTACATAGCAACATTCAATCCATTCCCTTCGAAGAAAAACATAACTGACCATGCGCCCTACGATCAATGTGAATCAGCGGTCAGGAAACCTGTCGCACAAAACACAGGGTCCCGAACTGAGGACTAAACCGCTGCAAGTGGGACTTGGTCCCGGGGACCTCACAATTCTACCCAGGTACTAGGCCTATACTCACCTTAGGCATGTGCTGGAAAACAGGTCCAGCGTCCTTTAGGTCCACATTGGGTCCACTTATCTGCAATAGAACCTTCGGCTAGACTACCTTCTGCGAAAAAAGGGGTCTCCTGCTGGAAAACAGGTCCAGCGTCCTTACTCTGTTTTATTCTATCTTTGTGGAACCTAAGTTCATGTCTACACGTAATCTGTGTAACACCAAGCAACCTCTTTGCTGGAAACCAGGTCCAGCGTCCTTATTTGTCTTTGTACAAGTAGTGGACTGACTCTCTGATACCAAATACCATTTAAAACAATGGGGCTTCAATTTGAAGGCTAGTGTCGTCTGTGTTAGTTCCTTCTTCCCACAGTAAGCGAGAGAAGAAGAACTTGTCATTGGCTGTTCTCCCTGCCCATTGGAATGGGGACTCCCACTCGCTTGTTAGTTTCGGGGCGGTGATGTCCTTCCTTAGTTTCCTCTGTTTGGACCTTCTGTATTCTGCCAAGATCTGCAATCTTACCATATGTCTGAAGCTGTTTCTCAGGACCGTTGGGCAGTGTTATTACCTTTAAAACGGCTGTTTCTCAATCTTACTACGCTTGAAACTTTTCGAGAGCCGTCAGATTCACTCTCGAAAACATGGAGAGTGAGGGCCTCGCTGCACTACTCTCGATATGTGCAAAACGAGAGTGAATCTTCCGCTAGAATATGGAAAGATGCACCGCCATGATTTTTGTCTGTTGTGCATTTCCAGAGTAGTGCAGCGAGGCCCTGAGTCATCCCTGCACTAACTCTCCAAACGTGCTCAGCTAACGCTTGAAGCTTTAGGAGTTCCCGCCTGCGGCACGTTTTTTTCTTTTCTTTTCTTTTTTTTTAAACCACTATCGTCTTCACCCGAATAGAACTCCGGGTCATTATATCTGTATTTGGCACAACTTTCAGCCCAGATACGGCGATAATTACCGGGCCGGGTCATTATATCTGTATTTGGCACAACTTTCAGCCCAGATACGGCGATAATTACCGGGCGTTCTATTCAAGTGAAGACGGTAGTACCTCCGAGCCTGTTTTTGCCGACCCTAAATTTCACTGCGCTCCGAGTTTGCCAAGTCTGGGTACCACTCCGTTTTCTTTCTGGTACTCTGGGCCTCGTTCTACACCACTTGGAAATTGCTGTTTTTCAAGGAAGCGTTGTTCAACCCCGCCCTAATCACGCACCCTTGAAGTCGCTAATTGTTTCCACATCCCGGCCAAGTGTCTGCCCTTGAAACGGAAGTGTGGCCCAGGCAAATCGACGAAAATCCCAAGGGTGCCTCGGGAGGTCACTTGGGGCGGAAGGGTTTCACCCTTCAAAACGAGGAATATACGGACCTTTCTCTTTTTTCCTTTTTTTCTCCACCAATCACCGCTGTTCCTGATGCAATGCCGTCAGGACTTCAGTTTCGAGGATGGCCGTCTCAAGGGTTTCACCAAGGGGTTATGGAATGAAAAAACAAGTTAGGGGAAATTGATCACCTTCCGCGAGTTAGGGTGCCCTTGAAACTCAAGTATTTTCAAGTGGTGTCGAACGAGGCCCTCTCACGGAAAGAACCAAAACAAAAAAAGAAGAAGAAGAAAGGCCCTCTCACGGAATGAACCAAAAAAAAAAAAAAAAGAAGAAGAAAAGTTGCCGCGGTGAACCTCAGAAAAGAAGAAGAAGAAAAAACGGAAACGAAGCTTTGGCCGTGATTGCAGTTGTATACATTCTTGGAAGTGGTAGTGTGAGTGTGCCCTCAGTGAGGGCATCTCAGCCCCCTGGCCAGGTTGTCAGATTTGAAAAAGAGACTAGAAGGGGGGGAAAAACCAGCACGAGGATCCGTCCATGAAAATGGCTGGATACATTCACCTAAGCGCCAGTGTCAAAACATAGCTTGAGCAATTCATGGACTCCGCCCTGCCTGGTTGGCAGGGGTCTCATGAGAAACACAGGACCGAAAAAAAAAAGACAACAGTAACATTCAGAATGTGACCGCCTTACCTGTAAGGTGCATTCTGTGGAGGAAGACTGTGAGCAGGGCCTGGTAGACTACCTTGCCCGACATCATTGCAGTAGAGGAAGCATTTTCTTTTTTTTCCTTTTTCCTTTCACTCGCGGCACTATAAAATTCAGATTTATGGGACATTGCCGACCCTTTGTCCCACCCCAGATTTCTTCGGGAACTGGCAAGACCTCCTAATTTCCCAACACTGACCGGCCCCAGGCAATTCAGAAGTAGTTGGTATTACAACTTTACTCATCAAGTTCCATCATCTGGATTCGAACACGGGTCTGTATTTTCAACAGTTCATGGGTGTACCCACTGAGCTAGGATCTTGGGTACACATTCTTTTTCAAGAGAGGTCGGTGAGGCCCTTCAAACGCCCAGCATTTTGGAGAGTCCGTCTCTGGTCTCGGCCCAGAAAGCAGATTGGCGCTGTCGGGTAGTGCTGTGTAAGTCTTCTTGAGCGCCCGTCAGGAGTAGCAGGAAGGCGTGTGGTGAGGGGTGGACCAGTTGCGGACCGATCCCCACCGTCGTGCGGCTCCAGTGTGGCGCGGCGCATCTTTCCTCTGTACAGACAGTGTGTGTGGGCCGACTGTCGGAGTGTGGAAGCGCGGAAGTCCCAGGTCCTGCCCAGCACCTTACCTACCGGGCACGATTTCGAGAGTGGCCCCGTCGCTGCACTACGCTCTCGATTGTCTGTCAGACTGGGGCCGTCAAGCTTAAAAGCAGCAACTGCCATTTCGTTAAAATGGACATCTTTTATTTTCTAAACGAAATTGAAACCGAGTTTTTTTGCCCAAAACTCATCAAAATTTGTTTTCCCTCAGGGTCCGGCATTTGTAAAACGCTGGACCCCCTGGCTGTACATGGACCTAGCTTGAGACCAGGTGCCTCCAGGCAGTCCTGCCTGGAGGTACCTGGTTTCCTGCCTGGAGGTACCTGGTTTCAAGCTAGGTCCATGTATAGCCAGGGGGTCCAGCGTTTGTAAAGCACTGGAACCTCAGGAACATCAAATTTTGACGAGTTTTCGGCCAAAAAACTCGGTTTCAATTTCGTTCAAAAAATAAAAAATGTCCATTTTAACAAAATGCTCGTTCAGCTACGGCGACAAAAAAAGACTTTTTGAGAGTCTGACCGGTCTCGAACGATGCTTGGAACTTTTCGAGAGTCAAGTGTAGTGCAGCGAGGCC